AGAAACTGGAGTTGTTTCTCAGTGTATTTTTATACCACCATAAACAATTCTCTACGATGAGTTCGCGAATAGCAGCGAATATCCCAGCCTCTTCTCCCACTCGCATGTTTCTGCGAAAGGACGTTTGTGACCTGATGTTAGGCTGTGACAAAGTTTGATCGCTTTTCAACGTCGAAGTTCTTTTAAATGAATTGCGATGATTCATCATAGTACTTGCTCTATTAAATATAAGATTGTGCGAGATTTCATCGAGGCTCACTTTTATGCTATTCTTTAATGTTTGGCGCAGAATTTTTCCTTGGTGATTATCTTTTCCCTAAAATCAATCAAAGCAGGAGCGTTTTCTGCATCAACTAAAAAAACAAATTAGCAAATGAAAACATTAACTTTTGATCAACCGCGAGTTGTTCCCACGTCAACGCGCTACTTAACCCTTCGACCCATGGCCGACAACTGGCCAGTAAAACTCCTAGACAAATCGTTGGCGGATATGTATCGAATGTATTATTAGGTTTACTTTTTACGAACGGCCGACCGAGATCAACTCGAGGCTCACCTAAATTAAATTGATGCCATAAAGTTCAGTTTGATTCAATTTATTTATTGACTGCAAAAATATTCTTTTGTTACTTTACCTCTGTAATGGAACAAAACAAACGAAAAACATCCTACGTTAGAGCCTTTGCATAACTAATCTACAAGCTTGACCTTAGCTGCCGAAAAGCTCCCAAAGTACTTCGTTGCATATTTCGAAAGAGAAGGATTTAAATGAAAAGTACTTTCTCCAACCAAATATTCAGTATTTCAGCAGTCAAGTAGCCAAGTTGTTACGAGACTAACCGATCTTTACTGCTAGCTTCATTTTGTGGTTTGAACCAGGGAGTAATATATGATCATGTAGTCAGATCGTCCAGGTGAGAGTAGTCCAGAGAGAGACCGCTGTCAATGATAGTGAGCCCTAGCGGAAGTCTTTTTCAAAGTTTTCTCAGGACTACTTTTGCCCAGATGATCACACCACGCGGTCATTGTTAGGAAATCCATTATCTTTGAAGAGCAACACGCAGTTGTCAATCAGCCACTTTTCAATTTCTCTTACCCTTGTTTGCTATGCTGTCAAAAATAAGAATTAAAGTCAACAGTAGTTTTATTAATCATCAGCTTGGAGGTTTTTCAACGGTCACTCAAGGAGAATTGCACTTTATAGGTTCCACAGAATAGGGCTATTGTACGATGCCTCTTTGTGCCTTAATTAACCAATTAATGTACAGAAACTTGCTCAAAATACAACTTACTTTCATTTCCGGAGAGAAACATAGATAAAAATTTCTTAAAAGATAATTTTTTCTTTGAATGGTTCCGCTTTTATCGACCATTGAACACACGGGTGGAAGACAATGATAACAAGCCGTTGCGACTTAGTAAAGGGATGACCACGAATGCCTAATATGAGAGAAAATTACAGTGATTCAGGGGAAACAAATCCAGGTGACTTTGAAAACCAACCCCTTAATACAGGGTGACCGCTTAATATGGTGCTGTGAAGAGAATTTATGATTTCTTGGTGGCACTTACATGTAATACAAGTCCGACTGTACATGTTTTATTGCACTGGAAAACAATATCACTGGTATCATTGCTCACGTATGAATCCTGTTCATTACAAAAGGAAAGGTCATTTAGCATTTATTCTACGACTGAAATCATTTTGTTTGTCAGTCGTCAACTGTTTTTGTTTATAATATCAGCCTGATAATGAATTACATCAATTCAAATTCATGGGTAGTCGTTCACGATTTCAAGACTCAATTAATTGGCCATACTTTCATGATCTCAAAGATTACGTAGACATAAACAAAAATATCCAAAAATGTCGCCACGATATCAACAAACTTAATTTCAATCGTATTACCAAATTTTCCAATCTCTCTTCTGAAGTGTGGTCAGCTCTAAAAAGCCTTAGAAAACGCAAAGACATAGTTATCAAAACGGCCGATAAGGGCGGCTCAGTCGTTGTTTGGCGCACCGACCTCTACCAAAAAGAAGCTTTGCGGCAACTTTCTGACTCCTCTTTTTATCAAAAGGTCGACAAAGACCTCACTGCCAGCAATCAAAACACCGTCAAGAATACGATCAACCAACTCATAACTAAACAAGAATTGCCGGCCACAGCAAAAAATCTCATCAT